CCCCCAACTCCCCTCCCCTCCGCTCTCCTCACCTCATGTTTAAATGATGAATATATGATGAATATAAAACCCCACAGACAATGTAAATACAATAAATCTAGCAATGTATGAATCCAAAACCATTCTAATTGGAATATACTAATAGAAATAAGTTTTACTGAACTAATCTGGTAAACAGAGTAAAACCTTCTTGTTACAGTACCCCTCTCCTACAGCAGCATGTGTTCAATACTCCTCTGGTTCATTCACAAGTCATGCTGTCTGTTCCATCAGAACTGCTTGAAGTCAGACTTTCCACAGAGGGTCTTTGTGGGCGACTCTCCAGCCAGTCCTCCCTGAAGAAGTTATCTGTTGCCATATATATACAGTTTTTATATATCCTGATGTTCCTCAACAGCAAGCATCTTCTCCTCTGAAATACACTGGGGGGACGAATGTATTTCAGAGGAGATGAATCTCCATCCATCCTACAGGGGCTGGCTTTTCATCATCTTTATTTCAAACTCTGTATCATATAGGAAAGACATCTCATGCTCGGGGAGGTAGAGGAAATCTCCACTTCTTTTAACTGTGCTTCCTTTTGGTGAGAAATAGATTATTTGGCATATCTGAGATTATTACTTTATTCAAACAACCTCAGCAGTCAGAACTGAAAATTGCACAGAACAGTTTGTCCACATCACTCTTGAAGGGTATGATAACTTCATCCAGCATGCAGTTACATGTCCTAGCATTAGCATTTTTTTTTCTAGCATTATACAATGCTTTCCACTGTAGTTACATAAGAATATAGATATCATGATTTTGATTTCTAAGCCTTCCACAATATGGTCCAGATGATTTTTCTTGTCCTGAATTTTTCACTGGTATCTAGAGAGCACGATTCTTCCAGTTGTTGGCTGTTTTCATAGAAATGACAGTAACTCTTCTTTTTTTTTCAAATTCTGAATATTTGTTTTAAAACAGATATCAATCAGTATGATCTGGTCTGGTTGTTTGCTGTGTATTGGCTTTACATGGGTAATAGCAGACAGGTGAGAATGCATGACAGACTCCTGTCAGTGCAATTTCACATGACTACACATTTGCCCTTCAGCTTCTCTTTCCTTTTCTGCTGCTTGCTTTTTTTGCCATCAATTTGTAAACTCACAGTCCTGCGTTTCTCTAAGTTCAAAAGCTCTTGAAATAACTCCTTCACATTGTGGTTCAGCTTGGCAGAGGTCTCCATGAACGCACACCTCCACTTCTTGGCCGTAGCTTCTCCTTCACTGCTTTCTACCTCTCGATTTTGGTTCTCATCATTTTTGTTTCCCACCAGCATTATTGGAATGCTTTCTACATCACCTTTAATCTGACATATTTGTTCATAGATTGGTTTAAGTTCCTCCAAAGACTGTCGGCTGGTGATAGAGTAAACCAAAATGAAAGCATGTCCTTTAGAAATAGAAAGACGTTGCATGGCTGGAAATTGATGGCTCCCTGTAGTATCAGTTATCTGCAAAGTGCATATACTTTTATCACAGCTGATCACCTGCCGGTAGGTGTCTTCAATGGTAGGGATGTAGCTCTCTCTGAAAGTGCCTTTCACAAATCTCAAGACCAAAGAACTTTTGCCAACTCCTCCAGCCCCAAACACAACAACCCTGTAATCATTGCTTTGCTCTGGCATGTTTCTCAGTGTGTCTGTTGTTCAGCTAGAGGGGAAAATCTAGGAAACAAAATAACAGAAAACAAAGATATTAATCAGCTAACTTCAGTAACTGAACTTATCTTTCCCAGTAAGAGAAATAAATGTGATGAAGTGATGTTATGCATGTTGCAGAGTTGCGGTCTGGCCTGGATAAGTAATAAATTACTATCTTCATCACTTATTTAAAATGAACATTGTGATTTTAAGTTATATTCCTACTGGACTAACATTACCAAAGCAAAAAGCTACACATGGGAACTGGTATTTCATCACGGCCATGTCCTGAATGAACTGAGCAGAAGTGAGACTGAACTCCCCCTTCATATCCAATAAAGTGTCTCAAATCATTGTTAAAACACACTGCTACATATGTGTATGACAGTCAGAGAATCACTGAATCATTAAGCTGGAAAAGACCAGTAAGATCATCTAGTCCATCTCTTCGGCAGCTAGGGAACTTATTTCCAGTGCCCCTGGACAACACATCTTTATGACCTGTAAAATGTATTTGCAGATTAGCTGGAGTACTGCATCCAGATTGGGGGCCCCCAATACAGGAAAGACGTGGAGCTGCTGAGGAGAGTCTGGTGGAGGGTCACAAAGATGACAGAGGGCTAGAGCACCTCCCCTATCAAGACAGGCTGAGGGAGCTGAGCTTGTTCAGCCTGGAGAAAAGAAGGCTGTGAGGAGACTTCTTTGCAGCCTTTCCAGTATTTAAAAGGGGATTATAAAAAGGAGGGGAATCAATTTTTTTCAAGGTTAGGCAGTGATAGGTGAAGGGGGAATGGTTTTAAGCTCAAGGAGGGATGTGAAGTTCTTTACAGAAAGTGTGGTGAGATGCTGGAACAGCTGCCTGGAGAGGTTGTAGATGCTCTGTTCCTGGAGGTGTTCAAGACCAGGATGGATGGGGCCCTGGGCAACCTGCTCTAGTACCAGATCTGGAGGTTGGTGGCCCTGCCTGTGGCAGGGGGGTTGGAATTTGGTCATCCTTGGACTCCGTTCCAACCCAAGCCATTCCCTGATTCTGTGATTCTATTATTTTCTTTGTCTAACTTGTCTGCCCATTGTACTTATGACTTGCCTCTTATGTTTGTATTTGAGGCATTAGTAAGTCATTCTCTTTCACTCCAGAAGGAACAGAGAGACGGAGTTCCTGCATAATAAATACCTTCAAAAAGTTCTGAAAATGATCTGACTTGTGTACTTCCCCTTACAGTAAAATTAGATTAGAATATCAGGCTACAATACAGACAGAACATTAAAATCCAATGTGAAGCCCACCTACAGAAAGGGTCGTAAGGAGCATCCAGGGAACTACAGACCTTTCAGTATGACCTCTGTATCAGGGAAGGTCATGGTTCAGATTGTCTTGAGTCACATGGCATGCACAGGACACCTGGATATCAGGCACAGCCAGCATGTGCTCATGAGAGACAGGTCTTGATTAACCAACATCACCTCCTTCAATGACCAGGTGACCCACCTGGTGGATGAGGGAAAGACTGTTGACATATCTACCTAGGCTTCAGCAAAGCCTTTGACACTGTCCCATAGTATTCTCCTGAGGAAGCTGGCAGCTTATGTCCTGGGCAGGTATGTACTTTGCTGTGTAAAGAACTGGCTGGAGGGCTGGACCCATAAAGTGATGGTGAATGGAGTTAAATTCACTTGGCGGCCACTCATGAGTTGTGCTCCCCGGGAGCTGGTACTGAGTCTTGTCCTGTTCAATGTTTTAATTGATGATCTGGATGAGGGTACTGAATGCTCCCTCAGTAAGTTTGCTGATGGCACCAAGCTGCAGGGAAATGCCAGTCTGCCTGGGAGTAGGAAGGCCCTTTAAAGGGATCTAGACTGGCTGGATTGCAGGGCAGAGACCAGGGGGACAAAGTTCAAAAGGATCAAGTGCTGGGTCCTGCACTTTGGTTACAAAAACCCCAAGCAGCACTACAAGCTTGGGGCAGAGTGGCTGGAAACCCTAGCCTGGTCTAGCATTAGGTGGGAAGGTTGGTGGCCCTGTATGTGGCAGGGGAGGTTGAAGATTCATGATCCTTGAGGTCCCTTCCAACCCTGGCAATTCTGTGATTCTGTGAAACCTGTGTGCAGGAAAACAATTTAGGATATTAACTGTCAATCAGTTGAGCATGAGTAGCAGTGTGCCCAGATGGCATCCTAGATTGTATCAGAAATAGTGCTGCCAGCAAGAGGAGCAAGGAGGTTATCATCCTTCTGTACTCAGCATTAATAAGGCCATACCTTGAGTACTGTGTTCAGTTTTGGTCCTCTTAGTACAAGAAAAACACTGAGGCCATGGTGTGTGTGAGAAGGGCAACAAAGCTGGTGAGAGGTCTGGAACACAAATCTTATGAGGAGTGGCTGAGGAAACTGGGATTGTTCAGTCTGGTGGAGACTCAAGAGAGACCTTATAGCTGTCTATAACTACCTGAAAGGAAGTTGTGGTGAGGTGGGAGCTGGACTCATCTCCCAGGTATCTATCAACTGAATGAGAGGGATGAGCCACGGGATTTTTAGGTTGGATATTAAGAAAAAAACTGTCTCAGAAAGAGCAGTCAAGTATTGTAACAGTCTGCCCAGGGAGGTGGTGGAGTTATCGTCCCAGGAGGCATTCAAGAAACATGCAGACGTAGCACTTAGTGGGTGTAGGGGTAATGGATTGATGGTTGGACTTGGTAATTTTAGAGATCTTTTCCAACCTCAGTGGTTCGATGATTCTATGATCATATATAGGCCATCGGTGCTAGTAAAATCCTTTTCCTTTTATAATTGAAAGCATTTAAGATATTCACTACAGATCTCTCACAGTTTTGTTTTTGTTGCAATGTTTTCATCATGTTGCACTGTTAGAATTCCATGCAAAGATATATTGCAAATTTCTTTGAAACTTTTTGGCTAGATGCTTTAGAGCAGTGTTCATTTTTATAAAAAATCTGATCCTACACTTGTTATTTGGAGCCAGAGACTTTGATCCAGTTCTTGAGCTCTTATGACATCATATTGAGATGTCAGTTTGATATACAGTACAGCATTTGTCAGATGCTCTGTATTAATTTCCTGAAAGCTCTTTTTCCTCAGGCAAAATCATCTCATGTCAGTCAGATTTATTTATTTATTTATTTATTTATTCATTCATTCATTTATTCATTTATTCATTCATTCATTCATTCATTCATACATTCATTCATTAAGCCTAGGGAAATGTTCCTGTATTCTCATGGTTATGATGAAAATCCAACGAAATTTCAGCAATGCATTTGGTTCAAATCCTTACATCAATGTAAAATAACAATCCATAAGGCTATCCAGTGGTGATACCACTTTGCAATGATACATGATGGAAGATGGACATTAGTAGAAAATGCTGTTAGAAATATGGTGGATTAGAGCATGGTTTATGGTGCCATCGAAGGTGAAAAAGATAAGCATTATGAATGAAGAGAATAGAAGGACTTTTTACGTGTCCATAGAAAAGTATTTCTGTGGGAGTATTATCACGATGTTTGCCAATGAATATAGACTTACAGAATGGGGATTTTATACTAATGGTATTTCCATCTTTTAATGCAATACAATATATAACTAGATTCTTTTCTCTTTTCTGTGCTTGCTTAGACTTTCTTATCAACAAAAATCTTGACATATTTGAAAACTAAACAGCTTCAAAAGGCATTTAGAACAGCTTTTCATTGCAACATGAGGTTCTAGTGCATTTGGAAATCACTTTTTTATTCCCATGCTAAACAAAATGTTCTTTGAAAGCATGCTTCTGGATGATCACAGAAACTGTGATTTCTTCACTGCAGGAATGTTGTAACACTTGATTTATGTCAGCTCTGGTTTTCAGGCAGATGTTGTTCTTGCTATCCTTGTAAGTAGATATGAATATTTTTGTACTGTTGAAGTTTTTGTTTATACTTGAGTGCAGCGTTGGTTACAGATAAGCATCCATTCAAAACATCTTCTATTTTTGTATTACATTTACATAAAATAGGAGGTTAACTGACCAAGTAACAACAATGTGAATACCTACGCATGGATTAACCATATAATACAGCTAATAAAAATTATTTGACATTCAGAGCAAAACTGTTTTCTGAATCAAAATTTCAGTTTGAAAATCTTGGCTTATTTTCAAAATGTTGATTTATAATTTTGTGAATTCCTCGCACTTAAGTCTGATAATTTTGTAAGCAGCAGATTGTTGGATAACATAAAAAAAATAGATTAAATAAAATTATATGAAGTAAAACACTATTTACTCGTAGCTGTTGCAACTTTTAAAATACCTTCCTAAGACAAAATTATAGGGAAGTATTTTAGACCATAGCAAAATGAAGTCTTGAAATGCAAAGAAATTGGTTACATAATTTCAAGATAACAATATGCTGCATTTTGTCCAATGTACGCAGTGCCAGAGAACTTTAAGATTTCTCTGGGTCTTCCTCAAACCGTAATGCTACCAAATGAAAAGTTTACCAAGGGTGGACTGATGTTCTACTAAGTGTCACTTTGCAGTTAGTGGATTAGGTAATCTTAAAATTAAAAAAAAAAAGAATCTACACTCAAGGTCTGTTTGAATTCATCTTTACTTTTGGCATGTTAGATACTTCACTTAACTGGAGCTACTTCTAGATTTATTTATTTGTTGGAGTATTTGGTAAAGCAGTATGTTAATATTTTAAGTGCTTAGAGACAAATGTCACTGAGCAACCTTAGAGGTCTTGCAGGTATGTAGATAGGTATTTGCTAATTCACACACAGAAATAAAAATGTTGAGATGACAGCACAGTATTAAATCACTATGGAACCGATATGCTTTTATTTGATTTTTCTTCCCATCGTAACAACTGGGGTTTGTTCATTTTACTATGGATTTAATTCATCTTACTAAAGAAAAAATTTTCACAATTTTATATATTAAGTTTTCACCCCGTAATACCATTGGATAGAGCTGTAGAACATTTCACTGAAATGTTCCACTCATACGAATATTCACATGGTTGAAGACTAAGTCTCCTCTCTCAGTCTGTCTTTAAAGAGCAGAATGTTCTTTATGGAAATGAGGTTTGATTTTACATGCTGTGGTGAGCTTCTCTAGATGTCCACTACCTATCAAAAAGTAACTTATTTTTTCTGTATCTAACTGAAAGATGTGTGGGCTAAAAGTTTTCCTTAATGAAGAAAGTTAGAAAAATACAGGGGAAAAAAAAAAAAACAAAACCAAAATTTCTCAAGTAAACGTTTGGCTCTAAATGCTTTGGGTGCTAACTCCCATATATTGTGAGATTCATGATAAAAACATAGGCATATAAAAGTACAAATAACACTGTGCACGTTCTTGGAAGACTGCTTCTGTTCAGCAGAAAAAACTGTACAAAGATCAGTGGCCCTTTTGCCTTTCCTCCTTAGTCCTCAATTCCCTCACATAAACTGTTTAAACAACACTTCTGTAGAAGCAGAATCATCAAAGATCAAGGGTTGATGACTTCTTCAAGAATATACAGCTTCTACTGTTGTCTTCTTGCCACACATGTAGTGACTGCAATCTTGACTACTGAGATAGTTCTGATACTCTTATACAGACAAAATATTTCCCCATTCAAAACAATGTGGATTAGACCTAACCAAGGGTATCATTATCTGCTTTTCAGTCTATGCCTTGCATAGTGCGCTGTCCAAAAACACGACCAGTCAATGAAATACATTTTTCAACTGTTAGGCAAGAACTTGTCAATAGATTAATACAGTGTGTTTCAGGATCTGAAAGGATATCTGACAAATGATTATATAGTGCAGTTCTGTTGTCACTAAGGTTTCAAGTGCTAGGAAGAAGCCTGTGCTTTCACCAGAAATTGTCTGCAGATCAAAAAGTTTGGAAAGCAGCAAGTAAAGTATAAATGTGGGACATGACAAAAGAATGAAGATTTCTGATGGTAGTTTCAGAATTTTCACAATAGTGTATTTGCTGTCTAAGATGTGCCATTTGCTGATGTAGAAGGAAATATATATATAATATATATTGTAATGTTATTTCCTTTAACAATTACTTTGCAAATCTGCACCTCAAGATGTTCACAAAACTGAATACTTTTGTTACTGAAACTTGTGTTACCTTTAAACAGGAAAGCAATTTCATATTCATCTTAATCATTTTCCCAGGTTTCTCTACTTTCTATTCTGAAGTAAAAAATGTATACTTAGCCTTATGAGTAGTTTACTTCCTTTACTTCCTTTACTTTTCCTTGTAGCAGTGTGCAAAACTATAAATCTGTATTTTAAAAATATTTTAAAAAGTACTTTCTCAGTAACACACATCTGCATTCTAATGTTTGAGCACATAAAGAAAACTGCAATGTGTTTTGTTTGCAGGAATGTATTAGCAAATTGTGTTAGCCAGTATCTGATTACACATAGCTTCTTAAGAACAAACAAAAGTTGTCAGTCTATATTTTCAGAAAAGAATATAAGAATCAATAAAAGACAGTAATTTTCTTTTTCCTAACTTCACATTCATTTTAAGGTAGAACTACTGAACTTTTATTAGAAGGGAAACATCAGTTAGCCAGGAATGTATTTGTACTTTTCATATGACTGGTTGCCTACACACAGATTTTAAACAGTGATGTTAAAACTCTGTGAGGATTTCATTGACACCTATCCTGAATCACATTAAACCAATTCCATTGCTTGAAGTCATGATGAGGGAGACTATATTTCACTGTCACAGTCTACTGAAGCTCTGCGTAGTCAGAGGCTTATTCTGATCTCATAAACATAAGTCTATCATTCAACTCAAATTTACTCAAGAAGTGCCTCTAACTTCGGTGTGAGTGGAAAAGTATATTTGTCACACACTGATACCCATTTTTATGACATTTTGTGTTCTTCTTTTGATACTCATATCAACAATTACATGGTAATCAGTATTTTTGCTTGTTTTCTTAGAAAGATGAAAGAAAATGTACTCTGTTTCAATTTATACATACAGTAGAATTGTTACATGACTTTTTACCACTGCCTTTGCAACAATAAGATAAACTGTATTTTTTTTATTTTACTGCAACACCAAGAGTGAAGTATTTACTCATAAAACCTTTGTCTGAGTGGAAACTAAAAAAAAAAAACTTTCTGAACAAATTTTCCTTTTTTTTTTTTTTTTTTTTTTCTTTTTTTAATGTTTCCTGTAAGAAAACTGTTCATTTGAAAAGGAAAGTAATACTTCTGATATTTCTGAAAATTGTGTTTTTCTATTTCACTTTTTTTTTTTTTTACTTTATTCTAATATGTAATACTGACAATTCATCAGTAAGTTCTATTTTAGATTCCATGTATAAATGTATAAATGCGTCATACTCACATGTCACCTGGAAGATGGATGATTGAAATGCATCTGATTAGTTAGTTATTACAGAATAATTACTGAGATTTACTGCAAGTTGAGAGCAATTCAATGTAACGGTGTCCTGATTAAAAAAAAAAAAACAATACAGAGAAAAAAAGTATTTGATTAAAAAGAAAATAAAGTAGAAGAAAAGGGAACATAGAGTTGAATGTGATCATTGCTTTCTGTAAGAGAATCTTTGAGCCAGAATAATTTTTAATGCGATTTTTTAAAGCTAAGCCTGGGGGAACAGGGTACACTCTGTCACAATGAAAAGGTGTGTCTTTGATTTTTACATGTGACGATGGGATCTTTACAGGGACAGATGTATTGGTTAGCATAAAAGTGAAGTTTTCAGTTGAAACTCAAATGAAACTAGGACCTCCATTAATAGCAACTTCAGAATCAGCAGTGACAAATAAATCTTATCCACCTCGGTTGGCTTGGAGTTTTTTTTTTTTTGATACTACAGACTGCAGCGCTGGTATAACACAATATTGACCACATGGGCAGGAGGAACTTTCTCTCCGAACTCCAATCTTACACAGAGACCTATTCTGCATTATATGAAGGGGATATCATTTAGTCTGATGAGTATCAGAGCTTATGTATCTGCTCTAGTGCTAAAGTGGTTCGAACAGAAGTGCAGCAAAACCTAGAAGAAAAATATGCTTGCATTTGGTTTTGTTGTGGGATATGCAGTAAACTGTGCCTCCCAAGTGTCTGACCAATTTGCAAAGAGATTTTTCAGTGTAGGCAACTTCCAGTGAATGGCAAGAATTGTATTTGGCATTGAAAGAGACTTTCTAAAATATCAAATCCAATTCATTGCTGTTGCAGGCAACAATTTCATAATCTCTTCCATCGAGTTCCATCTGAAAAACATGCTCAACCTCTTCATTACTTCAACAAGAAAGCAATTTCAGTAGGTTAGCACTCTAATGGTTTGAAACCATCTGTCTTGAGAGTATTCACACCCCATTTATACCCATTTGTTCTTTGCTTTTCCCAGTGATGAAAACTGCTGTATATTGCAATCATTTTCCCAGACTTTCAGTTCCACGGGGCCATTGATTTGCAGTTACATATTTGATGTACGTATTTGGATAGCTTTTCATGCAAAAGCGTACAAATGCACTGTGCAATATAAGAGATACTGTGAAACCTGAAGCTATTTCATAGTCCCTGAACAATGGCTCAGATGCCGTTCCATGAGAACTACGCTCTACTGTGTTTTGTAAGCACAGCTAGGTCCCCCTGCAGGGAGCTCCTGAAACTGGAGTGAAGTCAGAAAAGGGGGAAAAACAACAGACAAAATAATCATCTGGCCCAGAATTAACCATTTTAGAATCTGAAAACATTCCAGGTACAATAAAGTATAAACCCTAGCAAAAGTAAAACAGCAATCACTTGTAACAGCTTCATTTATATGAAAAGGTATGTGAGTGCACACATCACACATGTGCAAGTATGTGCATTCATAAACAGGCATTACACATCCATGTATGATCAATCACACATAAAAACAAGAGATAAGGAGAATTACTTTAAAATGAAACATTTTAAATGAAACAAATTATTTTAAAATGAAATTCAAATCTTGTTGCTCAGCCTGAGCTCACCCAGCTGTGACTGAGGGTTGCAGCATACAGAACTCCCCACATTTTACAGGGGAGACACCATAAGAGGAAATAATGTCATCTCTGAATTCATGTCAATTACTTGAGAATAGCCCTTCATGATTTATTTTCATTCATTCAGTTGAGAACCACGCAATCTACAGAGCAAACAAAATATTTTTCACCTGGAAGACGAATGTTGAAAAGTTGTGTTTGTTTCTAATGCATTTTTGTGTTCTTTCCTCACATAAGGAAAAATGTAGCTTTAACATATTTTTTAATAGAAAATTAAAAAAACCTCTCTCTTTACACCATTGCAATGGCAGTGTGTAAGTAGGGCAAAATTCAGTTTTAATGAAAGACAGTTTAAAAAAATAGAAAGTGATTAAGCCATGACTAGCATCCCATAAACAGAAAAATAGTGCTGTTAAGCTGGTCAGCATGCATGTTACAGGTTTCTGGCTTCCATATCAGCCCCAGCTTGTAATGTGCCATATTCTTTATCTGTGGTAACGACTTGGATCAGATCTCGCAGTTGTAACTCAAGCAAAACTCTACTGAAATTTTTCCTGAGTGAGGACCGTGGATTTTGGTCAGAGAAGGTAAAAAGAACCTCTACTCTCCTTGCAAAGCTGTGTTTATGGATAAGGCAATGAAGACAAGTGACAGAAAGAAAATTACCTGTGAAGGAAGAGAAGGCTGCAAAATCTCCTCAGTTTCTGCCTGTCATCACACCCGCTGCTCACCCTCACTGCTGTGAGTTTTTCTCTACTAGGAAAGGGAATGCGTCTCAGTCGCAGGGCTGTAGCTCTATCCTCTCCTCCTCTGCCTTGAGTCCTGTGATGCCCGTTGCCTGCTGCCTGTCCTAGGCTGCGGCTCTGCACTCTCCCCGGGTGCTGGGACCAGGTGGGTGCTGCTGTTGGCTGGGCTGCAGCTTCACTCCTGCTTGCTGCTGTTAGCGATGGACTGGCTTCATCCTCTGCTGGTGCTGCTGCCTAAATGGCGACTGCACAGCTCATCCAGGCTTTTAACTGCCACCTACTGAGTAATTGTGGAATATGTGTATGGATGCATATGTTACATTGGCTGCAAATTTCTAGCATTCTCCCCAAATGCAGTGCATTTTTACAACTAAACTTCAAGCCTTCCAAATATTTAGTAGTTAAAACGGTAGTTTACTTTAATCTCGTACTTTTTTTTTTTTTTTACTTTTTTTTTCTTTTCTTATTTTTTTTTCAGCAGCTAAATATGGAGCAAGACACTTCTTTAACTTCAAAAAGCTTACAAAGCCTTTGGTTAGGCTAATCCTCAGTGGGCCTAAATCACCATAGCTCCATCCAAATCAATGGAGCTCTGTTGATTTATATTAGCTGCGAAATTTGTATTTTAGATCCAATATTTATTTGCAAAAATACAGCAGAAATGAAGTGCTAAAAGCATGCCATAAAAGCAGATGCTATCCAACAGAACCCTTCAGCATTTCAGTCACTGAAAGCACATGAGATAAATTTTCTGTGTGTTTTCCTGAGAGTGGAGTAAAATAATTTTCTTGGGTTTTACAGTCAAATGAAAAGTGAGTAAGCACATTGATTTTTCCAACTTGAAATGCAATTTTTTAATGAAAAATCCAGAGACATGTTCTAATACCTCCTCCAGCTGTTTATATCCAAATCACCTCCTAGCAATGCCCAGAACAGCTTTCTCTCTCCATAGTAGAAGCAGGCTGTACACAAGATCTGCACGTTCCCTCACACGGGTCACAGGTTGTTCTGTATGACTGAGGGGTGACGGCTCCTCATAGCCCTGTGGCACCACGGTTTCTCTCAGCCTGCACACATAGCTGAGCCAAGCTGTTAGCCTGGTGGGGAAAAGAAGCTGCCCTACAGCGATAGGTGGCATCCAGCACCAGGTATGGCAGTAAGGAGAGTATATGGTATATGATTTTTAGGCTTGCTGTGACTGTGGAGGGAACCAAAGGTTGAGCAGTCAGCTCACAACAGCTGGTAGGATTTGTTAAATGTCACCCTTGGTAAACGGAGGCTTTGTTTTGCTCGTTTTCATGAAACATTCATACATCATGTTAATTGTTTTGTTTGAAATGAAAAGGTTTTTCCTTTACGTGTGCGCTTTGCAGATGTCTGAGAGCATTAGGTTGCTGAATGGCCTGTCCTTCTAGCCATAAGGAGGGATTTGTACTGGATGCAGGTCTGGTACAGACAAGCCTTGACCCTTGTTATACAGGCCACCAGACAGCCCGCGTGGGCCCAGCCGTGCCCCGACAGCCATAGGCCTACTGAAGCAGACTTCCAGCACAGCCCTACCTCAACAATAATCTAACCTTGTGTGCTTTGAGGACCGGCTAATTAGTATACTGAAAGCAAAAAGTGGAGGTATTAGAAGACTGCAGTTACTGCAACAAAGCAAAGCTTAATCTACAGACTGTGTAATATTAGACAAAGATTTGGCTTTTTTCCTGGTGCTGCCCATGGCAGCATGCATGTAGGATCTGGTTCTGCTTATTCCAGAGTCTACAGTGTGCTTCTGAAGCTATAAAAAAATACAGCTTCTCAGTGATTTGCAGATAGCAGATCTCAGACCTCAGCAAGTGTACCCTTACTACAGTGCATTTTTTAACTTGCCTGAAAAGTGTTAGAAGCATCTGTTGAGCATTAGAGTCATAATTTGCAACAACTTTCGCTCATTTGATTTACACCACTAGTCAGGGAAATTTTAACTCTTGAATTGTATCCCAAAAAGACAGATGTTCAAACCTTCAAGACCATATCTTTTAAAATCCCGATCCTTTCTGAAATACAATTTACGTCAATTGCAACTATCAGCGTAGGCTGCTGTCATTCTACTAGCATGTCCAAAATAAAGAGTTCTCTCATTGGCAGACACATCTGCGCTGGTATACACATGCTCCAGTTAAGCAGCTTTCAGTCGGGCTCTCCTCCCACTGCAATCATGGTGAGATTTTTCTGAGCACAAGTGCAGTGCTAAGCTTGCACTTTAAAGCCCTGCAAAGGACATAGACTGCTGCAGAAGTAATGCTTCCTGTTTATTTCTACAGAAATTACAAAAGATATACAGAACACATTAATGCTTTTGATAGACCACACTCTTGCTACAAAACATTACTTTTCAGCATAGTCACCAACATTTGCTACACATTTTTCCCTGTTATGAACAAGAGTCTGCAAACTGCACTTGTGAAAATGTGTACCAGTGGAGGTAACCCACTGCTGCTATTGCAGCAGTGTCCAGTGCTAAGACCTTACTCTAGACTGCAGGGGAACCACTGCGGCAAACTGAGTCAGTGAGAGGGAAAGTAGCTGGTGCTCTGCCAGGAGCTCCAGTGAAGTCCTCCGAGAATGCCGCTCCTCCCCTCCCCTCTGAGAACCTAAAATGCCCCAAAAAGGCAGTTCATGGAACCAGAATATTAACTCTTTAACTCCCACTCCCACCGACAACAAAAATCACAAAACCGCAACATTCCATCCCTTATTCCACATCACTGCATCATACTTAATATGTATCTATATACAAACAAACAGTAACTAACAAGCATTATATACACACATATCTATATACATGGAGTTACTGACTGCATTCCCCCAACATCAAATCTTGTGATACATATTGAACATCCCCACTTCTCTGCATCACCCACCAAGTGAACCCAGGTCCCTAAGCAAAAACAGTTCCACAGAGAGGTCTGCCCTTTCCAGAAGCTGGAAGAACCCAATCCGCTTTTCTCAACATGCTATTTACGTGTACCACAGGGACCTTATCTCCCTCTACAGTATGTAGGGAGCAAGATTAGGTAGGACCGTTTTGATTGACTGATCCTCTACTGTTGCCCAACCAGGTGGCTTCTTTCAAATGCTTCTCTCAGTGCTTAAATGTTCCTCCACCCATTGCTTTCAACATGGTTTTTAACAACCCATTCTAGTGTTCGATCTTACCAGAAGCTGGTGCATGCTAAGGGATATTATAAATCCACTCAGTGCCATGTTCTTTGGCCTAAATATTTACAAGTGAATTTTTGAAATGAGTTCCATTATCTGTCTCAATTCTTTCTGGAGTGCCTGTAGCCATAGGACTTGTTTCTCCAAACCTAATATGGTGTTTTGGGTGGTAGCAGGGGGTACTGCATATGCTTCAAGCCACCCAGTGGTTACCTCCACCATGGTAAGCACATAATGCTTACCATTGTGAGTTTGTGGCAAGGTGATATAACCTGCTACAACTCCCCATATTTATACTTTTGCCATTGCCCTTCTTCCCAGAGAGGTTTCATCCTCTTGGCTTGTTTAATTGCAGCACACTTGTCACAGCCATGAATAATCTGCAATAGTGTCCATAGTTAAGTCCACCTCTAGGCCACTAGACCACTTATATATCCCATCTCTTCCTTGATGGCCCAAGGTCTTATGGGCCCACCAAGCTAAAATAACTCTCTCTTATTCTGCCAGTACAAGTCTATTTGAGCCACCTCAATTTTAGCAGCTCGATCTACCTGACGGTTACTTTGCTGTTCTTCAGTAGCCTAACTCTTGGGCACATGCGCATCTACATGGCGCACCTGTACAACCATATTCTTTGTTCGGGCAACAATGTTTTTCCACAGTTCAGCAGCACAAATAGGTTTACCCCTTCTTTGCCAGTTGCTTTGTTCCCATTGCTGTAACCACCCCAATAAGGCATTTGCCACCATCCATGAGGCAGTATAAAGATAAAGCATTTGCCACCTCTGGTTTGATTCTCCTTCTCCTTCAGTGGCCACTGCAACTTGTCGTGTGGGGCTCCACATAGCAGTTTTCTATCTGCAATGCTTCCCTACAATACAACATGATCCATCTGTGAACAGGGCATATTTCTTTTCATTTTCTGGTAGTTCACTGTATAATGAGGCCTCTTCAGCATGCAGTACTACTTCTCCTGGTGATGTTCCAAACTTTTTGCCTTCAGACCAGTCCATAATCATCTTTAAGATTCCTGGACGGCTGAAGTTTCCCATGTGTGCTTATTGTGTAACCAGCGCAATCCACTTACTCCATGTGGCATCAGTAGCATGATGGGTGGAAGAAACCTTTCTTTAAATATCCAATTTAGCACTGGCAGTCGAGGTGCCAGAAGGATCTTCATTTCAGTACCAATTACTTCAGAAACAGGCTAAGATCTTCTTTTCAGTTGGAATGTAACACTCTTCCAACCCCCTGTATGCTCGACTCCAGAATCCCAGGGGTTGGCCTTGGGTCTCTCCGAGGCTCTTTGTCACAAACTCCACATGGGAACTTTTTCCCCAGCAGCAGTGTAGAGGATGTATCGCTCCACACAACAATGTCATCGATGTACTGCAGGTGCTCAGGAGCACCACCCTGTTCCAAAGTGGTTTGGATCAACCCATGGCAAATGGTCAGGCTATGTTTCCACCCCTGGGGCAAACAGTTCCAGGTGTACCATTTGACTGCTTTTGACTCTAGCTCACACTGGAGTTCTAACATATATGGCACAGCAGCACTCAGTGGGGGTGTGACTTCATTCAGGCCATGATAGTCTGTCAGCCTCCATTTTCCACTGGCTTTACACACTGGCCATATGGAGTGGTTAAAAAGTGAGTGAGTTTTGCTGATCACTCCTTAACTCTCTAGCTGATGAATCAGCTTATGAATGGGGAACAAGGAATCCCTGTTGGTGCGGTACTGCCATCTGTGCACCGTTTTTGTAGCAATTGGTACCTGCTGCTCTTTTACCTGTAGTAACCCCACAACAGACAGATCTTCTGACAGGCCAGGCAAAAAACAGACAGCTGCTTAATGTTGTATGTATCTAGATCAGCTATTCCAAAAGCCCATCAATATCTCTTAGAATCCTTGAAATGCCGCCTCTGAGATAATCTATACCAAGTATGCATAGAGCCCTCCGGCCAGTCAATATAGGATGCTTCTGCCAGTCTTTACCAGTGAGGCTTATTTCTGCCTCCAACACAAGCAATTCCTGGCAGCCTCCAATTACTCCAGAAATATAAATCAATCCTGTCCCTTTATAATCCGAGGGCGTCAGAGTGCACTGAGCACCAGTGTCCACCAGTGCTTTTTATTTCTGTGGGTCTGATGTGTCAAGCCATTGTATCCATATAGT